TGCGGACAAGGTACCTCACGCTGAGGACAAGGTATCTCACAGTGAGGACAAGGTACCTCAAACTGAGGACAAGGTACCTCACGCTGAGGACAAGGTTCCTGACGCTGAGGACAAGGTTCCTGACGGTGAGGACAAGGCACCTCACGCTGAGGACAAGGTTCCTCAAGCTACGGACAAATTATCTCACGGTGAGGACAAGGTACCTCACACTGAGGACAAGGTACCTCACGCTGAGGACAAGGTACCTCACGCTGAGGACAAGGTTCCTGACGCTGAGGACAAGGTTTCTGACGGTGAGGACAAGGTACCTCACGCTGAGGACAAGGTTCCCCACGCTGAGGACAAGGTTCCTCACTCTGAAGACAAGGTTCTTCACGCTGAGGACAAGGTTCCTCACGCTGAGGACAAGGTATCTGTCGGTGAGGACAAGGTTCCTCGCACTGAGGGCAAGGTTCCTCACGCTGAGGACAAGGTACCTTACGCTGAGGACAAGGTTCCTCACGCTGGGGACAAGGTTCCTCACGCTGAGGACAGGGTTCCTCACGCTGAGGGTAAGGTACCTCACACTGAGGACAAGGTACCTCACACTGAGGACAAGGTACCTCACACTGAGGACAAGGTTTCTCACACTGAGGACAAGGTTTCTCACTCTGAGGACCATGTTCTTCACGGTGAGGACAAGGTTCGTCAAACTGAGGACAAGGTACCTCATACTGTGGACAAGGTACCTCACACTGAGGACAAGGCCCCTCACGCTGAGGATAAGGTTCCTCACGCTGAGGACAAGGTTCCTCACGCTGAGGACAAGGTTCCTCACGCAGAGGACAAGGTTCCTCACTCTGAGGACAAAGTTCCTCACGCTGAGGACAAGGTTCCTCAAGCTGAAGACAAGGTTCCTCACGCTGAAGACAAGGTTCCTCACGCTGAGGCCAAGGTTACTCACGCTAAGGAGAAGGTTCCTCACGCTGAGGTCAAGGTACCTCACACTGAGGACAAGGTACTTCACGCCATAGTTTATGTAAGGGGGCGCATGGTTAGGAAACGCGGCAAACTTCAAAGACGGATGTTTATTTCGCGCTTTTTAAGTCACATGACCAAAGTCCGTGCACACAAATAGGTAATATAATATACTCTTGTGCAGAATTGGACTAGTCATGGTGACGTAAATCGGTATAAAGTTTCATCTGGGAAATGCCAGGCGATAATTGCGCTGTGATGGTTGTGGGACGTGTCGAAGAACTAGAGGTATCGGTATTTTTAAACTCGCATCGCCTAAGAACGAGGAATATAGGGAATGGAGATCACAGTGGTTAAACGAACTCACTAAAACAAGAGTAATTGACAAGAATTTTCGAGCGCAGATTGACAACGACAAGGTATTTACTTGTGAAAAACATTTTAAAGAAGAAGACATCGAAACGTGTAAGTGCCATGTTATAAATAATTCTGGTATACGAGCTCTTGTAG